AAACAACCCCCCCCGGGAAATTGAAATAATAACCTGTGATATAAGATTTTGGCCATATTGCCCATCTAAATCACTCATCCCACACTATCAACAGGCGCGTCATGTAGGCTTACACTTCTTGTATTTTGTTTGGGCACCACAAGGTGTCACTGTGGCCTCAAAGCTTACCCCTCGCCTACTCTGGCTCGATTGCCATTTACTCTACGGACAAAGAAATGTAGAAATAAATAAATATGAAAATACATAAATGTAGAAATCAATACATGTGGAAATAAATAAAGACGTAAATACATACATGTGAAAATAAATTAAAGTAGAAATGAATAATGTATAAATAAATAAAATAAAAAATAAATACATAAAATTATATAAATATAAAATTATACAAATATTTTTTTTTTTACTTTTTTTTTTTTTTTAAATGTCTATAGTTTTTTTTTCAGTCACTTTTAGGTTTATTCATTTTAATTCATCAAGTTAAACTAAATTAAAATGAGAAATGTTGCCTTGGCAACTAGCTTATTTAATTTAACGTTTATTTCTAATAACAACAAAGGTTTTAATGTGTTTTTTTTAATGGTTTTAGTTTTAGTTAACTATAATAACCCTGGCATTTAGTGCAGCATGATGAATGTACACAAAAAGTGAGAGAACTATTGAAAATCAAGTATGAAAAAAATAAATTATAGATAAATTAAGAAAAAATTAAATGCAAAAGAATTTAAAACAAACCAATAAACTAATAAATATAAGTATACTGTATAAGCCTCTACCAATAATGTGCAAACAGGGTTAAAACAATCTGTAACAATAACTAAAACTTGGAAACAGTCATTGCCATTTGAGGCCAAAAATGTCACGCTTTACCTTAAAATAAACTTGCATTGCTTAAAAATCATGTCCTGTGGACAGTCGTACCTGTATGTTGACCTGATAGTCTGTAGGTCCGTGTATGGATCCATAAAGGCCAAAGCCCACAATAAATATCCTGCGATTGACAGAGAACCTGCAGAGAGCACAGTCACTCAGTTAGCTGACTTCACACAGCAGTGACGAACCCGCAGGGGTCTCTCTCACCGGATGCGGTCGCTGGTCCCGCTGTAACCCCAGCGGCTCTCCACCTGCCCGAAGCGCGTGATGCTGCTCTCTTTCCCCCGCAGACAGCAGCGCGGCCGGTCGATGAACTCCACGCGCGGTTTAGGATTCACCGTGAAGTGCAGGAACAGACTCACCACCTCTCTGTCTGTCAGAATGGCCGACTGAGCAGGACCTGAGTGAAACACACATGCTCATTAAGCTACTGTATCATTTTTGATACATGTATTTCTAATGATCAAACTTTGCTGTTAAATATGTTTCACTCGATCTCCTGCATCCCTTCTGTCTCTGATTGAGAGTTTAGAGTGTTTTATCCAGTCAAAGCTCTTTTAGTGTAACTGTAGCTGGAGCTTCACGAGTCAAATCTTCACTGATTGTTATCAAGCAAGCGTCAGAATAACTGCAGTAATATTTCCAGATGAACACTTACTGGACTGAAGCAGCTCAGCTTTACTTGATTCTCCATCAATCATGTTTTAGAGTCTCAAATCTGATCCTCAGGATCTTTTGAGGAGCGTTTGTTTCCAGAAGCTTTACTTTCACTGTTCCTCAGCGGAGGAATGATCTTCACAAGCCTCCAGAACATCTCACATCTGAGGAGGAGCCTTTATTTCTTCAGCTCTCAATCACTGCATTATATGTTTGGAGCATTTCAATCTCATCTTACTATTACTGGAGATATAGAGCGACGACTGATATTTAGATCATTTATGTCAGTCAGTATGCTGAACTGTTAGAAAGATCTCACTGATTTACATTACAAGCAGCAGAATTTCATCACTTTTTGGTCATAAATATCTGCACCAAATTGCATAATTTTGCTCAGTTTTTTTTTCCCATATTCTCACTATATCAGACTATATGAGCCATAAAAGCCTGATGGATCAGATATGATACTCAACAAACAAGATATTTTGTCTAAATGTTCAATAGACTGTTCTACTGTATTTCAAACAATTAGATTTTTCTGACTATTACTTCATATTTCAAGGTTTACAGGGTTAATGCCACAAGCGTGGCATGTATAGAGACCTGCGGCGAACTCCTCGATGGTCATGAGCGGGAAGCGGACGAGATTGAGGGCTTTTCCCAGCACGCGTCTCTTGTTCTCTGGCGTGAGCTGGAGCTGCTGTCGGTGAGCTTCAGCTTCTGCCCAGCGAACCGCCGCTCCGAACAAATGCACCTCGCGCACACCCAGAGTATCTCTCTCCAACACCGCAACCAGCGTGTCTGACAGAGACAAGAGAGAAACACACGTCTGTGAGGACGTGAGGAACAAACTAGGGTTTTCATGAGACCAAAAACATACACTAATCTGTAAGCTTTGGGGTCGGTAAGTCTCTTGTGCTCACCAGGGCTGCATTTAGTTGATCAAAAAAAACAGTAAAAACAGTGATATATTACAACTTACAATTTTCAATGTGAATATACAGTGGAGCTCTACAACCTACAATTTCAAGGTCTCTGCTGCTTAGTCCTATTTGAAGTTATCCCAACAGGAGCAGAAGGGCACTTTTTTTAAGCATATTTCATAAATTAATTGTATCCTGAAACAGTATAAAAAACTTAAATGGGATATTTGAAAAAGAACTCTGATCAATATTAGAGAACACTTATAGAATTATATGACAAACTCTATTTAACTGGAAGCATTCGTCTAATTTTCACTGAGATTGTAAAATGGCGGGCCGCTCTAAGGTGACTGAAAGCCTGAAACAGGAGGAGGTCCAGATGAAGGCCAAAGGGACGACACTTTCAGACACTGCAAGAGAAGCTGGACGTTCCCAAGAATACTGCAGCTTTACAATGAGACTAACTCATTCAAGTCCCCTAAAAAGGCTGGTCGTCCACATAAGACAAATGCACGAGAGGACAATGGGGAATCGGTTCAGCACTGCAGCTGGAATTGCTCAACAGTTCAGCTCTGAACAGGATTCGTCTCTTTGCTGAGGAGCATGTTGTGTGAAGAGAGGAGAACTGGTCCAAAGTTCACTTTAGTGACGAGAGCGAGTTTCATTTATCTGGGTCTGATGGGAAACACTAGGCGTCAAACTGGGGAAAGACTGAAGCCCGAGTGCGTAAAGAAGTCAGTGAAAGGTGGAGGAAGTGTCATTGTTTGGGGGATGTTTGGATCTCTTACACAGATACATGGCAGGAGAATGCAAATATTCATCAGAACCTCCTTCAGCAACAAGCAGTTCCTTCCCTGCGTTCATCTCCCAATCAGCCTGCAATTTTCATGCAGGACAATGCTCCCGTCACACTGCAAAACAGGTAAAGCAGTTCCTTGATGCTGAAAACTATTATTTATTGAAATAATGAAATGGAGTCCTGATCAAAACCCGTCTCAAAATCTCTGGAAAATCCTTGGCAACAAAGTTCTGGCTAATAAACCCTCTGCAGGTAAACTAACTAAATGTTAGTTGCAATCTTCTTTCGTGCTACAGTGGTTACTGTTCTCTAATTCTGATCACTGTGTTTTCCACAAAATAAAGGGTTTTTGTTGAAATGCCTTGGATATTTTGTCAAACATGTTAATATGACACTGGTATAGATACAGCTAATATTCCTTCAAATTTTGAGCGATGAAGATTAACGATATTTCAGAAAAAATCAAGTATTTACAGATTGTTCTCTAATTTTGATCTCCACTGTACTGTAAACTGTATTTTATTTCTGTGATGCGCAGCTGAATTTTCAGCATCATTACTCCAGTCTTCAGTGTTACATGATCTTCAGAAATCATTCTAATATTTAACATTTCTGATTATTAGCAATGTTGAAAACAGTTGTGCAGCCCAATATTTTTGTGGAAACCGTCATACATTTCATTTCATTTATATGCTGACGATACACAGGTGTACCTGCCGTTGAAAGCTGGCGATTCCATTCAACCATTGTTGGAATGTATCTCGGATATTAAGAAGTGGTTATCAAATAACTTTCTCCAACTTAATAAGGACAAATAAGAAATAATTATTTTTGGTCCCCCAAAATTGAGGAGTGGTCTCATTAAGGAGCTGGGCAATCATTTCCCCTCAATAATCCCCTCCTTTTGTTTTATTGTCTGTTTTGTTTGCTTTTATTCTGTCTTTATTTAACTTTCCTTTACTTTGTACTTCAGCACTTTGGAGAGCTTTGCTAAGTAAATGTGCTATATAAATAAAATGTACTTACTAATGCATTTGTTAGTATTAGTGTTTATTAATCTTTGTTAACATTTGTTAATAAAAAATAAAGCTCTTCATGGTTTGTTCATGCTAGCTCACACTGCATCAACTAATATTAAAAGATACAAATTTTATTTTAATAATGACACGTATGTACAGTATATCACTGGCATGATTATGAGATATAATATATTACAGGGATAATTCACCCAGAAATGAAATTTCTTAACCTCAAGTTGTTCCAAACCTGTACGAGTTTTGTTTTTCTGCTGAACACAGAAGAAGATATTTTGTAGAATGTTGGTAAACAAACAGTTTCTGGTCCCCATTGACTTCCATAATATTTTTCTATACTACAGAAGTCAATGGCTACTAACAACTGTTTGGTGAGCAACATCATTCAAAATATCTTCTTCTAACTCATACAGGCTTGTAACGACTAAATGATAACAGAATTGTCATATTTAGGGGAACTACTCCTTTAGCACTGATTCAGTGCTGCCAGAGTTTGAGCAGTGGGCCTGTAATGCGGTATACCGTGGGTTTGTTTCCGTGATACAGTACCCAGATCAATATCTGTGAATCCCTCAGCAGCCAGAGCGTCTCCTGTGTTTTTGTCGATGTTCTCCAGGCACAGGCTGGCCAGCTGCGGCTCATCGAACAGTCTCGCCTTCAAACAAACAACACATCGGCCTGTCAGAGTCTGACAGGTAAAGCCTGTGTAAACATTACAGGTATGAATGAGCTCTACCTGTGTGAGCAGCATGAAAGCATTGTCTGCGCGCAGGTTCTTCTTCAGAAACTCCACACAATGGGCCTCCAGAGCCGGAACGGCGTATTTCTTAGCAGTGTAGAGAGTCGTCATCACCGTCTCAGGCCCGATGTGAACCTCATCAGAGTACAGGAACCTGGAGAAAAGGTTACAGTTTCTGGAATGTATGTACAGTATATACATGCATACTGAGAAAAACACTCATACTTGAGCAATGCGAGGAATGCAGCAGGTTCTACATCAGGAAGCTCGATCTCTGTGGATGTGGTGGCCATGCCTCCATTAAACATGGCATCAAATACTGCACTGCCAACGGCCAGAACAAACCTGCAATGGCAATATTAATATTATGAATAAATATCATAATAATTATTGTTATAATAAATAATACATTTACAATATTGATAAATTTTTGATAGATTTTTGATAGATTTATAAATTATATTAATATTATTTTCATGACAAATAAGCACATTCCCACCCAAATCGACATATTTTTACAGCATGGAAGTTATATATGTTATAACTTTGCCTTTAACTTATTCTGATTTCACTTTGAAAAAATAATTGAAAATTACAAACAAACACAGAAGTCAAAAATATGGACATTTTATGGTAATCAAAACTGATTATTATAAATATATTTATTTAATAACCGTTTATTATTAAAGTTAACGCATCTTTTTTCTCGCAATTCTAAAAATAAAAATAAATAACATCAGAATTGCAAGATATAAATTCCAGTTTCAAGATGTTAACTCACAATTGGAAGAAAAAATTGGAACTGTGAGATAAAAAGTCGCAATTATTACATTTATATTTTTTATTCCGTGGCAGAAATAAACTAAAAATAAATTCTGAGTTTATATGTTGCAATTCACTTTTTTCTCAATTGCTAAAAAATTCTGATATATATAAAAAAAATCATAATTACTTTTCTTTTTTTATTCCATGGCAGGAAAAAAAAACAGAATTGCGAGATGTAAACTCAGAATAGCGAGAAAAAAGTCTGAATTCTGAGGTCACATCTCGCAATTATTACTTTTCTCTTGAATTTTCACAATGCAAAAATATTTTAATGGTCGGTTTTTAATCATAAAAACGTTTGTCTCGTGACCAGCTGTTAACCGGACACACGCGCCATAATAGACTGCGCATGCGTGCCACGAATTAAGAGCTTCAGCTGAGGGGAAGATTTTTAACGAATAATGTCCTTAAATTCAGTCTGTTTCTTACACTAAGTTATGGTATACCTTCGTAAGACTTGTTATAATAGCGCGTGAGATACATGGACTATGGTTACGATGTTTTTTGTCATTTTTGGAGCTTGACAGCATGGCAGTCAGGGTGACAGAGGGGTCATATAGCCATAAATCAGGTCATAAATCTGACCATGTACACATTTGACATATGACAACCTGTCAATCAACGCTGACAGGGGTCATAAATCAGGTCATAAATCTGACCATGTACACATTTGACATATGACAACCTGTCAATCAACGCTGACAGGGGTCATAAATCAGGTCATAAATCACCAATCTGACACAAAGTGTATGATACAGCTACTAATAAGTTCAAATTAAGTGAATTACATTTTAGACACAATATTGACTGTTATTGCTCAATTTCGCAAACAAAAATACCAATCAAAGCCACAGCAAAACTGTTGTGTTTCTCCCAGCATACACACAGCTGTATTTCGTTAATGAATGAATCCACGTTTTTGAATGAATCGAGTGAGTCAATGATTCAGTTACCCATTCATAAACAGTCAACTTGCCTGGTTTCTGAATAAATCAGCAGTTTGAACAAATCGGTTGAATGAATGACTAAATGACTCACTCATTAAAACGTTTGTCATTTGCCGCCACCTACTGGTGGTTTGGTTTCATACTTAAACAACCTGTGAACATCCCGCTAAACATCTCCTGTTGTGTTCCACGGATAAAGTAAGTCATACAGGTTTTAAGACAACATCGTGGTGAGTAAATGATGTCAAGATTCATTTTGATAATATACTGTCATCATTATGTCATCAGTGTGTTTAGTGAACCACCTGTGCGCAGGTATCCGCTGGACTCCCATTCCTTTACCCACTAGAAAGTGAACATCACTCAGTACTTCATTATTGAACAAAAACGCAAATCTCTCTTTCACGGTGCTTTTCGTCGCCTGCCAGTTATAAACGGGCTCCCGGTACACGAGCACGGCGGCTGCGGCCGGAGACGAGTGTGTCGCCGGTGTCATCGCAGCGTTAGACGGTTTTCCAGTCATATTCGAGGCGGCCGAAGCCGGCGGCCCCACTAACGCCGCGGCAGCCGGGAGAGAGTTCATCAGGTTCGGCGGAGGTCCTGAGGCAACACCGCGGCTTTCCAAGCCCGCAGGCCCCGGTTGAGGATTTGAGCGTCTCGTTACGCCCTGAGAGCCTCCGCCGCCTCCAACCGATCCTCCGTGACTCGCGGCCAAGGCGTAAGGACTGTTGCTCGGTTGGCTGTTACCCAAAGGTCCGGGTCCGGAGAAATTTAAACACGGAACCCGACCACTATTGTCTCCGGTAGCCATCTTGGACTGAGGCGCGCACCCGCTGAATGAGTAAACAAACCTCGAGCACTGTCAGTTTCCTGTCCCCTGAGCACAACATCCGGTCCCAAGCGCACGTGTGGAGTTGTATATAATTATCAATATTTTTAAAACTACTTAAAATTTTTATTCTAAATTATTTTTCTATTAACTTTTCTAATTATTATTTTATATTAAATCTGATACCAGTGAAACAGACTAGAAATTGTTCTTGCAATATCTATAAACTGAAAGTCCTTTAAAATATATAAATTATTCAGTGATAAAAAGGAAACTGATTTGTCAATACACTGGTTTAATGCAGTTTAGAAGCCTAGAATTATTTTATATATATATATA